ACAGTGTGGTAGGATCCCGCGGGTCGACACACAAGGGCGAGTAGTCGGATCTTATAGCACCCTTATGAAGATTGAACGTTGCAGGGTGCTGCACGGTCCGGTTGCTGTAAAAAGTGATTGTCTTCATGTCTTCTGTTAACTCTACTTCAGGCAACATAACTGAGCGACCCCGCTTAGAATGGTCATTGTGTTTATGGATGCTTTTATCTTTTGTGGTTGAGATAAAATCTCTGGGGCGTCATGCGTTTTCATGATGTGCTTCACGTGTGGACTGCTGTAGAGATAGGATCTTTTGCCTGTCATGTGGGTTTGGATGAGGTTTATTGCTTGTCGTGTGGCCACATGAGTTTCGATGTGGAGATATAAGTCTCTTGCTTGTCATGTGAGACTACATAAGGGTTTTTGCATATCATGAAGATTCATGACAAGCGTGCTCGCTGACCACTAGCGGTTTGGCGTGACCGTTTGGTGGTTGCGCGGAGGGCCGCGGCATTGGTGGTGTTCAGTCTTTCTTGAGCACCGCCCTGCCTGCCCTGGATTTAAGTTGTCAGCGGCGTGGCTGATGGAGACGTTTGACCGTGATAGGCATTTGTTTTTCGTGCTGCATGGATTTTAAGAATTTTGGTGCGGTGTGTATTTTTCCACCATGCTGTAGGAAAGAAAAGTAAGCGCGGACTCGATTGCGGCTCAGCTAGGGTGTAGTGGGCAGAATCGGCTGGCATTTTTTTGGCTTGTTATGGGCAATGAAGTGAAAATAGGGGTATGAACCTTTACTGTACTGGTGTGTTTTACCTTCGGCACGGTTGATAGGACCACAGTGCGGTAGGATCCTGGATCTTTGTACGAGCGCATCCCCGTACAAAAGTAGCTGCGAGATGTGAGCACAGGATTGTCTTGGAGTAGGGGAGAATAGATGGTTGGAACTTGTGGTTTCTAGGTTAGCAAAAACTAGACACGTATTTTTTCCACGCACACATGGTGCTTGCTCTTCGTCCTTGCGAAAGAATGTGGAATGCGTGGCCATGCGCGGGATGGTGCCGTCATCGTGGTCACTATCGTTCATGATGAGTAGTGAAGTGAGCTGGTTATTTATTCGTTAGCGTGCTCTTTGTCCCTGGTTTTGGTTGGTGGGGCGGAGTGTGTCCCTGTTTTGTTGATAAGTTGCAGGTGCTCCTGGGAAATGTGTTGGTGGGGCCAGGAGTGTGTACCTGCTGGTGGAGCTGCAAGCCTTGTTTTGTTGATGGGGCCGACAGTGTCCCGGTTGGTGGAGCTGCAAATAGGGGTACTACGAAGATGAGGCCCACTCCCAAGATCCTTCTCCAACGGCAGCTGAATGCTATATGGATGAAACCTATAAAGACTTCAATAATAACACGGCCTACTACCAGACCCTGGCTGACACGGATCCGACGGAACAGGCTGAAGAGTATAACTTTGCTTACGCCTCCTACATCGACGCTCGCAAACTCTTCAACGGGATCAAACTCAGCCCTGGCTATTTGCCGATTGTGGCGCTGACAGACGGTGGTGGTGCAGCCTCTCCACAATTCTCAATTTTTCAGTGTCCCCAGGCCGTGGCAAGGAAGCAAAACGAAGAAAGGAAAGGGCAAGGGTGGCTCCAACGTTGTGAAGTATCCGCCCAGGGGCAAGGGAAAGGAGTTTGATCCGAAAGGACGAGCGAAAGCTAGTGGCATTCTTCCCACTTGTTTCCGTTGTGGACAAGTTGGACGCATGATCTACAACTGCACCATTCCAAAAGGTGGTAGTAGTGCATCCGAGCGCAAGACAGCCCCTACTGAGAGCTCCGTTGGTGATGTGGAGCATGACCATGTGATCTTCACCGACAACCATGGATGTGCATGAACGCCACGAGTGTGCCATGCTGGTTCCCGGTACCAATGCTTTCTTGCCAGGCCATGGCCCCTTCCTACGCTACATGCTGAGGCTCAAGGAAACCAATTACGACATCACCGAGGTCAAGTTAATGCGGTGCAAGCGCGCTATCTACTTTGGCGGTGATGCCAACTTGGAATGCACCTCGACTGTACAATTGCCCCTTTGCATTGGTGGAAAGTATGGCTATGTACAGATGTATTTGCTGCCCGGCGAAACCCCGATGCTACTTGGAAAGCCAATCATGGAATCCCTTGGCTTGGTGCTGGACTGCCGCAATCGCATGATCAAGCTGGACGACATGCCCTGGCAACACGCTGTAGTTCAAAGTCCTAGCCAGTTTCATAGCTGAAAATCTCGACATCCATGCCTCATGATTTAGCTAGAGCTGAGACACGTGCTCCACCACAGTAAATTTCCCAAGCACTCGCTTGCGTTCAGGCTGGTGCAGCTCCTCAGTGATGTAGGCATGTCGCTCATTCTCCAGGCCTCCAGGGTGTTGAGCTTCACACCACAGGTCTGGAGCAAATGGTGCCGCATCGGACGAAGTCCGTCTTGGACAGCAGCTGTGGAAGACTTTGTTTGACCTCGATGTTGAAGATCGCAAAGTCCATGGGCTTTCCAGTGACTCCTCCACCTTCCTGTGGCCTGAGGAGCCAGATGCAAAATTTAGCTGGCAGAACCGACGTCCAGCAGCCCGAGCTCATCTTGAAGCGCCAGGAGCAACACACCTGCATTTAATGTTTGTGGCACAGGTCTACAAGGAGCAGGTTGACAACGCTCGACACGCTCATATAAAGCAGCCCGAACGAGCTTTGAACTAGCAGAAGACTTACCTGTAATCGGTTGCGCCTGCCTTGGCCAAGATGGATGGTGGAAACTTGTGAAGAAGCTTATAGGCATCCTTTCAAGGAAAATCTCCATGCAGGCGGTGTTGTTAAAGCAGTGTGAGGGGCAGCACATCCACTGTCCTCTGGAAGGCTCGGCACCTGCACTTAGCCGTCGTATTTGACTACCAGCCTGGTCTTGCAGCCACAATTGCAGCTGCTATTTGTGCCCTGACCCTGCTCAGTTCTGGGACTATGGACTTGCAATCTGTGAACAGAAGGAGGTCATAGGATGTCTGCTCAGGACCCAACCGGCCTTGAAAGTGAAGTAGTTCGCACAGTACAAGGCTTGCACAGGAACCTGCAAGTCATTGAGGCAGCTCGCCATCCAATGCACTGCATGCCTGCGCTACAAAGTGACCAAACCTAGTGGTATCTTCGACGCTGCGACATCAAGCCCGTGAAGTTAGTGAACGCTTGCAGGCCGAGATGCTGTGGATCAAGTGCAACACCAATATCAAGAATTTCCTCGTTCTCAGTGTCATGGACCAGGCCACCAAGTACACTGTGGCGAGGCTACTTACTACTTCATAGAGAATGTGGCGACCATCTTATCCAAGGTCTTGAACGAGCTTAGATTCGGCATTTTAACTTCCCCAATGTCTTTGGTCGGATAAAAGACGTGGTTGGATTAGAAATGAAACGAGCCTGGACCACCCAACATTCTGTGAAGCACATCGTGGCCCCAGCTGAATCCGATCGCCTGACACCTGCGGAGCGCCGATACGTCAGCGCTTGGCGAATGCTAGAGGGGCCGAAAACTTTCATGTTATCTATGTCAATCTCAATGGCAAGGCGCAAAGTGACCTACGTGGTGCCCCAGCTCAATTACACCGTGAGTGTAGCCGGCTACACACCTTCACAGTAGCTTCTTAGAAAGATATCCCGACTGCCAGGCAGACTTGCACAAGATGGACTCAACCCTGCACACCTTAGAAACCACGATCAATTCGAACAACTTCTACGACAACGAGCTACAGCGAAGAAGGCGATCACTGCTGATCTGACCGTGGTCAAAAGTGCTTTTTTTTTCGGAGAGACCAGTGCCAAGATCGATTGGTTAAGATCCGTTAGCATGTCCCAGCCCGGATTGGGATAGTCGAGTGTTCCAAGGATGACAAACCCGAGCTCTATTGGTTGTCCTATAGAAGACCCAGCTCATGAGATGCTCACAGCACCACGTGCGTGGTGACTTCACTGCAGCCGATGGGCTGGTGCTCAAGAAGCTCGACGAGAGGTGGTATCTTTGCGGTCCCGAGGCGTCACTCGATTCCTGGATCTCAACATGCCGCAGTGCAACGGTGGCTTCAAGCTGCTTTGGATGCATTTGTGTGTGCGTAGTAATCTTGCTTTTGCTTAGCGGAATTTTAGATTTTTTTTTGGACTATTTTTTGTGTAAAAATGTTTGCTTTTTTTGTTTGTAAATTTCTAATTTTCTTTTCTCGTTTGCTCTCAGCAAAGTTATTTTCTGCATCAAAACCAGGGACCCCGTAAACCCGCCATTGCGTTTTACTTTGCTGGATAACTTGGAAACAGCTGTCAATCTGTGATTTCCAGTCGGGAAATGACCATTGAACTCTTAATGTTTGGAAGCGTTAGGTTCAACCCAGCAGCTATGTCACCAATGTAATTTGTGTTTTTCTCGTGGGTCTCCTTTCTGAAACACGTTTCAAGGCAGAAAAGTTATTAGGGATAGCACATGCGCTATTTTCTTTTCTCGTGGCGTTGGGCTCTGAACTGCGGCAGTTCCTGTCCTTGTCCGCGGATGGCTTTTGGCTGTTCCGGCCAAAGCCACATTCAGCGCCATGCAGTCTTTGGCTGATCCGGCCAAGGCTGCATGCGCTGGGTCTGGCGATGGCAAGTCCAAATGGATGCGGCTGTCAAGCAAATGGACAGCTGAGTTTCTTTTGGATCCTGCATGCCCAGAGGCTGGGTCATGGTTACAGGAGCAGGAGCAGCCATGGGGGATTGGCTGCAAAGCTTGCAGCTTTTGCAAGTGTGTTGGCAGGCTTGCGAAATTTAGAGTTTGCACGCGAAGCGGGCTGCAGAGCGTGAATTTTGTCAAGCACCAGAAAAGCAAGGTTCACCAAAATTCTGTGAAGGTGTTCCTTGCTAATGGCAACGACTCTGGTCTGAACACTGCGCCTGACACGAGCAGCTTTAAGGTCAACTTTGAGCAGCAGGAAAGAGGCTCAAATGACATGGTGCCTTGCGGAGGCCATGAAAGCAATAGACCAAAGGCGCTTGACAAAAACAAAGAGTGTATCTCTTTTCCGGGATGAACGGAAAGGATTGCTGGCGGTCCGTTTCAGAACTGTCAGTGAAGACCTTGTTGTCCACTCTGGCACTCTGGGTCATGAGCGGTGTGCTGGCACTGGGGCCGCCAATTTGACCCAAGCAACAGAACGCATCATGAAGCGAGCAGCAAGCCGATTTTTGAACGGACCTGGAAGCAAGAAGAAAGGTTGGCTGAAAGTTCCCCTGTACCGTCGGCTGAGACAGAGTGTGACCACCATCACCGTCGACAGCGCAGCTGAGGAGGTGGTGAGTTCCGAGCTCATGCGCACGGCGCTGACTCCAGGGCAGAAACTTCTTACTCCAAACCTCCGCTTTGTGGTTCGTGATAAGACTCATTCAAGTCGAAGAATCACTTCGAGGCCGTGGGCAGCTGATGAAGCACTGAAATCCACCTTGAATCTTTTGGGACATGGACCAGGAAGCATTGCGAAGCTCTTGCAACATTCTCCAGAGATACAGCGAATTTTTCGCGATTTCGCAGAAACATCTGATTCTCAGGTGAACCATGTCGTCCGAAATTTTCGGGCGGCGGCCCACCGCTTTGAGTCGCACGCAAAGCCGTTGGGCCGCACCCTGCTGCATCTACATGCTTGCATCAGAACAGCTTTGCATTTGGTGCAAACTCGAACAGACAAGGCCAGCACAAAGGCCAAGAACTGGCTACTTGCATTAACTGAAGAGCATTGCCTACAGGCAGCAATGATGGCTTCGTCCCTTCAGCTGACCCGGCTGATGGACCATGAAGACACTGATCCAGCCAACTTGGGAACCGAGCTTCGCCTATACCTCAATACCATCCGGGGTTTGTTTTGTGAAAAGCGCTGCCTGACAATTTTTGGCTTCACCCGAACCATGCTGGAGACATTGAAGACTCCAATAGTTTTTCAGGTCGGGAGGAAAACGCGGTCTCTTGGATCTGCTTTGGGTGTGTCAGAAGCTGTGCAGGACACATGCTTAAAAAGGATGGTAGCTTTTGCCCACTTGGCTGATGCGGCCATTCGGGCTGAGTTTCCGTCATTTGAGCTGGCTCAAGCTTTCGAAGTGTTTGATTTGCGGAGCACGCCGCAAAATCCTGAGGAACATTTGCAGAGAATTGCCACGGCTTGCAAGCTGAACTTTCAAGAGCTCCATCGGCAATGGGAAGATATCTTTCCCCGTGCGCAGGTTCAACTCAAGTCAAGTGGCGCCACTGCATCCAAAGATGCTTGGAAATTGGCCTTGGAACAAATAATAGATACAAGTCGCGGAAAATCTGACACTGAGCGTCGGGTCAGCGCGCTGAAAGGCGCGCTAGTGCAATACTTTGCATTCGGATTGAGTTCTTCAGGTGTCGAACAGGCCTTCAGCAAAGGTGCCTGGGCTTTTCACGCCCGGAGGCAACGGGCATCTCCAGACAAAGAAGATTTTTGCCTCAAAGTCATTCATGACAATCATCTTTATCATGACGATGAAATCTTCCAGCTGGCGCGCGTGGTTTGGCAACAATGCTATGGGATGCCTCGAACTCATGGGAGACCACGGGCGGACAAGGGCATCAAACGACCCCTTTCACAGGATGCATGCACTGAGATCAACTTTCTTCGGAAAAGGAGGCGGGAGGCCGCAGAGGCAGGTGCTCAAGTCAGAGGAGATATCATCAGGATGGACGATTTGGAGCCAGAAGTATGGACTGAGGCGCATACACGTGAGCTGGACTTCCAACGACGCAAGACAAATGCCAGGAAGGTCCAGGCTTATGCTGAAAACTCTTTGTTGGAGAAGGAAGTGGATGAAAATTTGGCAGAACAAGCGGATGAGTGCAAAGAAAAGCTAGTTCAAAACGCATTGAAGCGCAAGGCTTTGCAGGAACGTGTTAGGCGTGCTCAAGGTGCTTCAGCAAGTGATGTCAAGTCGGCATTGCAAGGCTGCCGTGCATACTTGGCTGTTCCGGCCACTATGCAGTTGCAATCGTGTATTGTCGGTCATGGCTTAGCTGAGACCAAAGTCCTTAGCCGCGCAGATGTAATTATTTGCCATGAGCCAGGTCGGTCTGTGGACTGGCGTCTCCAGTGCGTTTCAGCAGTCAGAGGTTGCTACGAGGTTTCGCCCAACTTCTTGATGCATGGCCGAGGGGCAGCTCTGAAAGTGACACGCTCCGCGTTGCTACCTCGTGTTTTGCTAGCTTCGCACCTGTGCGCGCGCAATGCAGATGTGTTCAAGTTGCTTCGAGAGGCGCTGCCATCAGGCCATCGCTGGGTCATCAGCAAGTCTGAACTGGCGACTTTGCCGGATCTCCAAGCTCGCTACCGGGCGGGTCTGGCTTACATTGTCGTGGCCGATGTGGAAATGTCTTCGCAAGTTTCTGAGCTGCAGGCAATATTTTTCATAATGAAAAAAGATTTTTATAGTTAGCTTTCCTGTGCACAACTCCTTCCAAGGGTGATTCAAGTCAACATGTTTTTTTGCTTCAGCCAGGTTCTGATGGGCGTCAAGCATTGCTACTCGGTGACGAGCCTGCTGGAGAAGCTGCGCAAGGTTGATCTGGAGAAATCGTTTTTCGGGCTGGCCAGCTCCAAATAGGAGCTACAGGGGGGCCGCGTGACCTTTTAAAGGTGACCAGTGGCTTTGGGGGAAACAATTTGCACGCAGTGTCGTTACTTTGGGCAGATAATGTCGACTGCATGCCTGTCATGGTTAAATTATTCGACCTCTCTGACTGACATCCTCCGTTGCATTTTTGGCTCTATCCTTTGATTTCTTAGTTGCAATTTTAGCTTGGCAAAAGCTGCACTGGCTGCTCCGGCCAGGGTGGCTGATGGCGACTCTGGGTACTTCTCGGACTCCTCGCGTCCTCCGCTTTGGATCTGATTTCTCAGGCTTGGACAGCGCCTACTTGGCATTGAAGAGGTTGAATGTGCCAGTTCGACATTGTTTTTGCAGTGACAAGGATGCGAAGTGCCTGTCACTGTTGCAAGCCCTTCACAAGCCAGAGGTGTGCTTTGATGATGTGACTCTCCGCAAAGCCGAGGAGGAGTCATATGTTGACCTCTACTTGACCACACCACCCTGTCAGGCCTTTTCAGCTGCTGGACAGGGGCATGGCGCCGCAGATGGCCGAGGCACATTGATTTCAAGCAGTATGAAGTATGTGCAGCATAAAAGGCCACGATGCGTAGTGGTGGAAAACGTCCGCGGACTGCTGCAAAAGAAACACCGCCCGATCTACCGAGGCATTTTGAAAACATTCAAGAAATTGGGCTATGTTGTATCTTCCCGTGTGTTGGACGCACAAGATTACCAAGTTGCTCAGGTGCGGAAAAGAGTCTTTATCGTAGCAATTCGACGACGAGACTCAAGAAGACAAAGGTTTGAGTGGCCAAAGCCACTGGGGAAAAGATCTTTGTCCGCAATTTTGGACCCTCCAGTGAGAACAGACAAGCCAGGACGTTTGCCAAAGTCAGAAAGGCCTAAGAAGCTCGCTCGGATGGCCATGAGTAAAATTTGGGCTCAGGGTGTGGATCCTTGCAAGGTCCCTTGCGCCATTGATGTTGGATGCTCAGAGCGATACCTGACTTGGAAGGTCGGTGTAGCTCCGACGTTGTGCCGGGCTCGCGGTGGTTCGGGAGGCTTCTGGCTTTCATCAAGAGGACGCAAGACCACGCTGAGGGAATTGATGCGGATCACCGGCATCAACCCAGAGGAGCTGCAGGGTTGGGAAGCTTGTTGCACAGGCCCCCAGTTAGGTCAGATGTTAGGCAACTCAGTGCCTGTGCCTTTGATCCAAGCTGTCTTGCAAAACGCCTTGTTGGCTTCTGGCCTCCTGACACAGAGTCGAAGCAATGCTACCTGAATGCTTTCTCGCCTTGTTGGCTGCACCGGCCATGCGGTTTTTTTTTGGGTTACCTTCTCCAATAAGAGGGAATCCCGTAATTCAAAAGATCGTCTGGGGTGAAGATCTAGGTCGCTAGCACCAAAAAATGTTGCGCTGCTGTTTTCCAACCTGTTCGGAAGGGTCTAGCGCTTAAATTGCTTCGCTTCTAATTGCTTTCAAGGATAAGATTGTGACGCATGTGCCTTACAGTTACATGTGTGAGCTCAAATCTTTCAAAGCCTCGAGCACTCCTTCCTTCCAATTCTCTGACCAGAGCGCCGCGCCATGGAAGCAACTGGCATGAAGCCTGAGGATGAACGTGAAAGTTTTCTCGCCCTTGTTTCCAAAACTCGCACTGAGTTGCTAAAAGCATTTCCGCTGCATGAAGTGCCAGACAGAGTGGAAAATTGCAGAAATGCATTCTTTTGGATGTGGCAGCACTTGCATGGCACCGGCGTTGCCAAATGTTTGCAGGACCTGGAGATAGCCTTGGACATTTTGACGACAATCAACCTGACAGACTTAGATGCAGCCCCAGACCATCGCATTGTCACAGGGTTGCCGCTGCGAATGCAAGGTGTGAAATGCGGCCTCAGCAACAATACCAAGCAAGAGTTTCTTCATGCTGAAGAGCTCATGGCACTTTTCATGCCAGTGAGCCAAGCACACCAGGGCTTCACTTGGGCCGGCATGGGCACCTGGTTTGATTTTTTTTTCGCGGCTGTGCACGAAGGCCGCGTGGATGTTAATCTTCGCACTGGGGAATTTCATGTTGACTTTGGCGACTCGAACATCAGCTGCTCCGGCTGAGTTCGGATCGCCAATCCTGGCAGAAGCGCGACAGGCTGCTCCGGCCTGCGCGCGTGGTAGTCTTACTTAGGTAGCAATGACGAGCGCAACAGGCTGATCCGGCCTGGGCACTTGGGAGCCTCATAATTTTTAATAGGGTATAGCATAGCAAACGACGTTTTCACAGCGGCGGCGTTGCAGAAGCCAGCTGCTCGTCGTCGAGCTCGGAACCCATGACAGCAAAACAAGACGAAAGACTCTTAGGAGCCTCTCCGCTGCCCCCGGCAGGCTCCTAAGGAGAGGACGATTTGACCTCTCCTTAGGAGCATCGCCGTCGTTGGCGATGCTCCTAAGGAGAGGACGCGGAGAGGACGAAACTGAAATTCCGTTAAGCGATCATGCAAAACATACCATTGTCCTCTCCGTGTCCTCTCCTTAGGAGCATCGCCGGCGTTAGCGATGCTCCTAAGGAGAGGACGATTTGACCTCTCCTTAGGAGCCTCCAAATACTCGTTTGTCGTCGTTTTTTGGCTCCAGTTGCTTAGTAGAATTTTTCTCCCGGCCGTTCCTTGCCTCGGGAGCCATTGGCTGCTCCGGCCAAGGCTCTCCAAACTTCTTGGTTGCTGGCTGCTCCAAGAAGCATTCATTGAAGTGAGCTCCTGGCTGTTCCGGCCAGAGCTCATGACAATGGTGGGCAAAAGCCCTTCCCTTGCCATCGATTGTGGGGGGTGCTGACAGACAATTACACCGCCCACCGTTACGATGGCAAGGAGATATATAAAGCGACAAAAGAAGGCGCATACGCCTTCGTGTGGCTGTGGATTAAAAAATACGGGGAAAGGAGCCTCACAGTGGTCAGCAGGGTCAACAATCCAGACAACATGCGGCACTGGGTTGTGAGACACTCTGAGAGTTTGGGGCTGAATGCTAATGATGTTTGGCTGTGCAAGGATCGGGGAGAGAAAGGCCCCATAGCCAAACGCTTGCTCGTGACGCACGCCATCGACGACAATTCGGCCTGTGTCTATGTGATGGCAAGAGACGCATGGACAACTCTGGAAGTGCCACTCCTTTTCTCCAGCCGACCGTATGAAAAACAAGGATGTTACGACTCCTGGCTGAAGGAACGCCTTCTTGTGACTGACAGCTTCCGGGAGGTCGCTTTGCATGAGAAGTTTGGGTTGGAGGCTTCAGAGAAGGTGTGGAACTTTTTGTGCGAAAATGGACCGCCGCATCGCCCCCATGAACCTGAAACTTTGGCAGCTGCATGGAAGATGCTGAGAGAAGAGTATCAGAGCCCGACCTCCCCGAGTGAATCGGAGGATGGCCGTGCGGCTGCTCCGGCCGCCGGTCATGCGCCGAAGGTCTGGCGGCCAAAGCTGGATCAAGCCGCCGAGACACCTCAGCAGCAGGAGCGCAAACCGTCCGAGAAAGCAACAGACAGTGAAAAAAAAACCGTCTGACAAGCCCCAAGACACGGCGGTCAGCAGGGAAGGAGCTGCCGATTTGAAAGCCAAGGTGGAGCTTCAGGACGATCAAGAAAGGCCAAAAGTTACCTTGACTGCGAGAAAACAAGGCCCAGAGGCTGAGGCCACTGCAGCTGGCGAAGGCGGCAGCCGCAGCCGCAAGGTGACACAGGAACAACCTTCTGGAAGTCAGCCACCCGCAGAACTTCAGATGCAGAAGAAAAAGCAGGAAGGCACCCTGGACTGAAACGTATGAGTCGTCTTACGAATACTATAGCAGCGATGATGACGCAGAGCAGGCAGCGGCAGAGCAGCCTCCCCCGACAATCCCTGAGCCAAAAAGAGAAGACACACCAGAGGCAAAAGCTCCCAGAACAACTCTCGAGCCGCAGGGCAAAGCGCCGCCGGTCTGGCAAGGTCGCACGCCAGACAGTCAGTGGACTCGCAGAAAGCAGGAACGGGCGGACAATCACAAAGCAGCTGCCTCTGCAGGACCACCCAAGAAAACAAAAATCACGGAAGTTCCAATGTGCAAGCGCTGCGGGAAAAACCAACCAGGAGCCTACTGTCCTCACAAGCTCTGCAGACGTTGCTGCACAGAGCCGTGCCCACAGCACCACTGAAGGGCGGACCTTGCAACTGTTGGCTGTTCCGGCCAAAGTTGTTGAAAAGGGGTTTTTGAAGGGATGGCCTTGCAACCACTAGCTGCTCCGGCTAGGGCTGTGTAATTTTAAATCGAATGGTCACCGGGCAGAGCACCAAGATAAAAGGCGCGGCAGTTAATTTAGGTTTGGACAAAGGTTCCGCCCAAAACTGACTGTAATAGTTCGATAACTGTTCGAACACATATATAAAGTATAAAAAACATAGTTTTGTTGCCTAGTCCCCCCACAATGTCAGATGAATATTACTAAAACAATAAAAAATATATAATTTATAATATATATATATATTTTGATATTATATATGTAATATAGTATATACGTTTTATTTCTAGGTGAAATAGATAGGTGTCTAAGAGGTGACCAAGTCTGAGCTGCGAGTTGTTCTTGCGTTTGCTGCTTGACATGTTGCATCGGATGTGTCAAAGTTATTTTTTCCCGCAACGTCTCGGTTCTAGATTGCCTCTCCTGTCTATTGATTTCGCTTGCAAACACCTTGAGTTTGTCGCTGGCTGCTACGGCCAAGGCAGGCATCATGGGAAAGCAGGCAAAAAATAAGGCTAAAGCCAAAGCCAAATCGAAAGGCGCGGCTGCGAAGCCTGAAGAGGAAGACAAAAATGAGACGGAGCAGGAACAGGTCAATCATCAAAGCGCGCAGCAGCTGATCCTCGTCCACGATGCAATGAAAACGATTCAGGAACACCCAATGTTTTCCAGCATTCAAACAGATTTGCCGTTGAAAGTGCAGCAGGGCGGTCGCCAGGAACCCTATGATGCAGCCACTGCAACAAAAGCTTTGAAGCACGGCAGCTACAAAGCATCTGCCAACTTCTTTTGGCAGAACTTCACTTGGCTGGCCGCGCACAGAATTCCGTTGAACGTTGGGCAGATCAAGCAATTCCAGAAACATTTCTTCCCAGCGCTGGAACCTCCTCAGTGGTACCCCTTTGACGTGATTGTGGCTGTGGAGCCCTCTGCTCCAGCACAAGACATGCCTGAAGGAGGTTGGCATCGGCTGTCACCGGCCGAGCCTGTCTTTGCTTTGCTTTTCAGTATTGAGGAAGCAATCAAGAAACAAGCCGACGATTCTGTCCTGAGTACTTGGAAACGCTTGCTGCTCACGACTAGCTTCCAGTTTGAGGCAGTGGCCGTAGGGGAAGACAGGTATTGGAGGGCCAGCAACTTGAGAGAAGAGGCGGCCGAGCATGGACTAGCAGTCCAACTCTCCATGGTTCAGAGGATTTTCGACATTGCCACTTTCAAAATGAATAAAGAAAGCGCTTCAGGTACGCAGCTTTCAGCCAAGAAGGTTGCTGCTCTCTACACAGAGCAGCTCAAACTTGCAAGCAATGTGGAAAAAAAATTCCGAAACGTGGGTAGACTGCACATTGACAGTTTACCGCCGGGTTTTGAAGATTCCGGCTTGCCAGCAATTTCTTGCCCACTGTGATGAAGTCTTTCTTTCAGAAAACCCATGGAACAAATCGATCAATGCCTTGCAGGCACTGGTGGACAGGGCCCAGACCCAAGAAAATATCATGTATGCTTTGTTTGGAATGATCGATGGGTGGCAATGCGGATTTGTGGATGCAGGGTGCTGGTCGGTCAACCGCCTCAGGGATTCCAGAACAAGCTACCTGGCGAATCAGATGTGCGTTTTCCCAATATCAGTATTATCCATTTCATAATGTAATGATAACTGAATAAAAATGATATATTTTATTGACGTGTATGTTTTAACACCAGGTTTCTTTCATTTTTATGTGGAGCCTCATCATCTAATTCTGATAAATAGGTTTTCTCCCATGCAGATGCGGTGTTGATCTATATGTTTTCTGTGTCGTTGTCCCTGCAGGTTACGTCGAAGTGCTGAAATTGAAAAAGACGGTCTGCAAGCATCTCCTCGGAGATTGGCTGAATTCCTTCGACATTGCCAAGGAATGGAAGCTTTCACTGCGAGAAGTGTTCAAAACCCATGAAGCAGTGCGCGCCAAGTTCGCAGCCTTTCCCGGCCAAGCGCAAGCTGACACAGCCTGGCTGGTTGGAGCCTCTCCCGGACTGC